TAAATAATTTTAATAATTTAAACTTGTTCGATTGTAACGAACTGTTTGCATTAAAAGATTATTTCCAGTTGAATAATTCTTATTTTGCGAGAAACCAGAAAAAGAGACTCTCATAAAATTCGATGGTGTGAATCATTTTCCGAGATAAGATGGATGAAGATTGGAATGATGAAGCATTTATCATTTTGCAGGGCTTATCGCTTCCATCTTTCTTCACATTGCATTGCATTTACATAACAGAAGGTAGAGGAAATTGCAATGTTCTAGAAGATTGAGGAGGATATTGTCCGGCGGGCAGCTGGTGGGGGCTGTACAGAAAAAAGGAAGGACCCACAGCTGCAAGCAATTTTGTATGGCAACCGGCGTTGCTCTCCATGCCTGCCTGCCTGCCTGCCCTGCAACTGCAACTGCAAGTCTGCAACCACCCAAAAGTGGAAGGCCAGTACAGGCCCACGTGGGCCATTGTATCTTTGTCATATTTTTATCTCTAGTCTGACTTTTAGCAGCTGGGATTTTCTCAGTGCTGTGTTGCAGAATGCAGGCAGGGTTATGGCGAGCCGGTCAGAATATTAAAGATTATAAAAAAAAAATTAAAAATTATTACCTTTAAAATGATTAATTTTATTTAATTTCATCAACAAAAATAATTAATGATTATAATTATAAATTAATAATTAATAAAATAATTAATTCACATTCGCACGCATGGACCGAGTGGATTTCCGCTTGGCATTAGTGGGAACATACTCCCGGATTGCAAGTTCGAACCCGATAAGATCCCTTTAGTATGATAGCTTCAATTGTAATTTGTTTAGAAAAAATAATTAATATACTTATATTTTTAGGCACTTGACCCTTTGAGTCAACTGACAACATGCCAATTTGAGGTGCATTCCTCGTCTTCCATGGACCGGCTTCGAGCCCACCCTTTGTCAACATGTTCAAAAAAAAAAAAACAAAAGCCTTATATTTTTAGATATTATTTTAAAAAATTATAAATTAATAATTTTAACAATTTTTTGTTGTAACAATAACTACACCCATGTGCTGGCCCGCGATCTCTTGCACCAGCTAGGGCCGGATGAATGACAAAAGATTGGGCTGCCCATGGTGGTGCCTTTACTATGTCTGACTGTCTGACTGATGAGATGGATTTTGGACAACTCTTTGCATTTGGGCCTTATGAAAATAAACGGACAACTCCTTCCTTTTGGGATTTGGCCCTTTATTAGTTAGAATAAGAATAAGAATAAGAATTTTGGCAAAACCCTACGGTTAAGCTCTTAAACTTATCTCAAATTCTAGATTAAACTTCTAAACTTTTATTAAAGTAAATAAACCCATAAACTTAGTAATCTTGGTAATTTAACCTCTCTTCTTTACGATAGACTTAAAATCTATTTGTGCATTGCCTACATGAATAAAATATTAATATGTCATTACATACATAATAGTTATTGATTTTATTCATACAAGTAAAGTACAAATAAATATAAGTTTGCTACAAGGATGAGAATTAAATTACCTAAGTCAATAAATTTAGGGGCTTATTTACTTTTATAAAAGTTTAGGGACTTAATTGAGAATATGTAACAAGTTCAAAAGCTTAATATAAGCTTTTACCTAGAACTTCTTACATTAAAATATTTGAGAAAGAGTAAAAATTATGAAGTCTTAATATTTTAAATGTCATAACTCTCTAGTAAATTATTTAAATACACTTGATAAATTTTTTTATATGTTAATTTATTAAATATATTGTAGTTTTTTTTATTATTATTCTTGATATTTTAATTGTCAAGATCTTTTAATTTTCCTCAATCTCAAAATATTTTACAAAATAATTTTTCTAAATACATCTAATGTCGGTTATATAAGAGAAATAGCCCTCCATTTTTTCAAATTCTACCTCATCTAACTCAAAGTTTCAATTTAAAATCTCTAATTTCAAATTTCAAATTTTTAACTAGTTGAATCAACCATGATAATTAATATTTCATAAAGTAATTAAGGGGTTGATAAAAATTGTTTTCTTATACATCTCTAATCAATTTTGGTCTCCTAACTGGCCCTAGAGGTCCAATGACATTAACCATTGAATAGGTGCATTCTCCCCTTCTCTGGTCAAGTTTTGAACCTGCTTCATGTCAAAATGTTCCAAAAAAAAAAAAATCAATTCTGGTCTCAATGAAATTGGCTCCATTATTAGTGTGGCTTTTGCTGACAGATTCGGTAGAAATAGCTTATGCTTCATCCCCAAATCCATCACCATGGAACTGTATGTCTTGCTTAAAAGCTGAATGAGGCTTTCTATGTGCTACTGCTGGATCATGGAGATGCAAAGTATAAGGACCTTTTTGCAGTCATTGCTTGATATGATAAAGTAATCCTACCAAGTGGATCCACTTTTTAACAGAGGTCACATGATCTTTGGTATTGGTATTGTTTTGGTCAGAGCCTGCTTGTGGTCTAAGAGACTCGTGCCGAACAGCACACAACCTCATACCCGGTACAGGGATGTGCCCAATCAAGTTTGGTTGTTTAGGTATTTTCCTGCCAGCTTACATCCTTTCATACTCACACTGGATGGGTCCAGTGCCACGGATCATGAACTCAGCAGTTTACATTTACCTAGTGGGTTAAAGCGCTTGTTCCCCAGTCACATTGCTTTGTTCACCTGGTTTTGGCGATTAGACTCGTTTTCATCTTCCTCCAAGCACCGGAAACCAAAGTGGTGCCATCTAGACAAAGTCTCAGGGCGAAGCAAAACTCAGTACGCCTAAGTAGATCAGAATTGAGAAACCGTAACTCAACAAAAACTACATCAAGGGCCAATTTTAAGGTTTTGCATAAAAATTGTTTCTATACCAACACTTTTTTTATTTATGCTTTTTTATTTGTTGTTTATACATATCTGGAGACAATCCTCTCCATTACAAAGAACAAGAGGAATAGGTGGTGGCCGACACTTGGTTTGGGCACAATAACTTTGATGGAGAAATATTGACCATAAAACCATAACAGTTTCTGCAGACGGACAGAGGACTGTTGTGCCAGCTATAAAGCATGATTAGAAACGACAGAAAAGAAAGAGAAAGGTGTGTGCAAATACATATTTTGAATAGATATCTAGGGTGGGGTTGGTGGGGTGGGGGTTGCTATTGCTAAATATATGCAAGTAGCACAGATAGATGATGGATATGGTCTCACCAAGCAGCCGAGCTACTTTACAACAACCAAATGCACATCAGGGGCCCCTACCATTACCAAGGCTAAACTAGCCGTCCACTTCCGAGACCTTTTTCCTTGGACCATGCCCACCGCTGAGACCTTTTCCTACGACCATGTCAAACCGCCCAATACCTGGTCCTCTATTTTAATCCGGTGGCGTAAAGATTGGGTAAGAAATAGATCACATTAAGGATCTAGAGTAGTATTATCTAAATATCATCAAGACACACAACAGATATTTTCTAGAGAAAATGGACGTTCTGCATGATCGTTACATGGTATCACACAAACTCGTAATCTCTTGCAGTTGAGATACAAGATGCAACACAAACAAATAGAGTTTGCAGAAAAACAAAATGCTAGGAGTATATCTGCATGATTTCCATAGTTACTAATTAAAAAAGCAGACAATCAGTAGTAGTCATTAGACCCATATAATAGAATTTGGGTCACCTAAAGAAAACATGGGGAAATAACCCAAATATCATCAACCAAAACCACACACATTTCGCCCCAGAAATACATGTCAAAATGAAGGAACAAAAATGACCCGGACCTAGTTAAAATGATCCATCTAAAATGGTAAAAGGTCAGTCTCTTGCACCCTAGGCTTCCCTAATTCCCTTTTTAATTTTTTTTTTTTACTTCTACAATCACTCTCCTCAAATTTATCTCCCACACTGTACATAAAAGAACATCCCCTATATATACATATAAACCAACCAACAACCTAATATAGTCACCTCTCTGAGTATTTAGACTACATCCCTCCAAGGACTGGATGAAGAGGCCTCTTGTCTTGGTTCTCTCAGGTACCCAAGAAGTGTTTCAGCCTGCAAAATAAACCATATCCAACTAAATATCAGCACAAGCAAAGAGCTGACTGGAAGGTTTCAATACAAAAATTACTTAACATTCAATACTTATAACCTATGGGCACAGCTGATATTAAACAAAACCCAGCACCCTCAATGAGTTACTTTCAAGTACTGCATAAAGTAAACTTAGACAAGAGTAAGACTTTACGTTCTCTACCTATTCAAATAAACCAATACAAACTGTATACTCTCATTTCCCATGTCTACAAGCATTGAGGAACAACTTCACAAACCAAAAATTGCCAATCAAAAAACATACACAATCAACAATGAACTGTGGAGAAAAAGGAAATATGCCTACTTCTGGTGAGTACCAAGCAATTCTTAGGCATTCAACTAAACAAGTTAGAAATCACAGTGAACTGCAAAGAAATCAAACCCAGATAACAACACATCTATCTTTAATAAAATAAACTGCAAAATTCAATACAAGTAAACTAAAACTACCTTATTCTTAGCCTTAATGCTGCCAGTCTGAGATAAGGCGACGAGGGGAGGGATCCCGCCTTCCCTGACTAGCAATCCACGATTGCTAAGGCTATCAGCACACAGCTGCAACAGGGTCAACACTGCAAATTCCTTCCCCTTCACAGAGCCATCTTCAATTGCCTCCACGAGAGCAGCAATTCCCCCTTCCTCTACGATCGCTTCCCTCCCCTCTTCGACGGCAGCCAGGCTGCTGAGGACCACCATCGCCTTCTCTGCCATCCCAGTCCCCTGCTCCGCCACCATTCCCACAAGTGGCCTCACCGCCCCAGCGCTCACAGCCCTCTCCTTGTTCTGCCTCAACGAACACAGTTTATACAGCGTCGTCAGTGCATCCTTCTTCCCCCTGTTTGACCCGTTCATTAGAAGCGACACCAGCGGTGGGATTGCCCCGCATGCTCCGATCGAACTCTTGTTTTCTTCAATCAAAGCCAAACTCATAAGCGCACACGCCGCATTTTGCTTCGAAGTTTCAGTTCCAGTCTTGAGAACATAGACTAAAGACTTTATAGCTCCGGCATTTGCGATCAAGGTTTTGTTGCCTTCATAGAGGGAGATGTTAAGCAACGCCGTGACGGCGTGCTCCTGAGTCAAAGGATCGCTGTTCCGCAGAAGCGGAATTAGAGCAGGAACTGCACCGGATTCCCCGATCAACGCCCGATTATCCGAGCGGTTTTTGGCTAACAACCTCAACTTCGCCGCGGCGGATCGCTTCACCGCAATGGACGAAGAGAGCAGGCCGTCAATGCAGATCTTGACAGTCGGTTGGAGATCCTCCGGCGAAATACTCTCAATAATTTCAGCAGAGAACTCCTCTCTCTGTAAAAAGCCGTGACAAGGCTCGTCGGGCTCTATCTCCGGCTCCGCACCATTTCTCAACGCGTTTTCAGGCGAAGGTAAGCTCGCTAACCTCTGTAGCTCTCCGGAGATATCACTGCTACAAGCCGAGAAATCACTGAAAGCCTGTGAAATATCCAAGAACTCCTCGTTTTCCGACTCAGACGTCACCGACTTGCTGTTTCTCTTCGCGGCGAGTTCACCGAGCCGCATATCGATGACAGATTCCGTCAGGTTCTCGGAAACGAATCCAGAATTCTCCGGGGCGGAGCTTGTGAAGGAGCAGCAGCTGTTATCGGTCTGATTGAAGTTGGACCGTATGGTGCGCATGGAACGGCCGATATGACGGTGGATTTTGGTGGTGGAAGCGGAGGATGGAGTGTAGAAGTTTCTAGACAACGGAAACCGATTCGAATTAGCGTTCGAATCTTCCACAGAAACCATTTTTTTCTTCTCAAAACAAAACGAATTCGAGGAAGAAGAATAAAAAATCGTCCTTTGTTTTCTATTTTAAGAGAATTTCATGGTGGTGGTTGCCAGAACGGAATAGGGAGAGCGAAAGTAAAGACAGGCGGAATGGAGAGAGAGAGAGAAATATTGTGAGAAGAATGGAAT